TTCAATTTTCTTAGCTCACATGTGTTTTAATTCCTTAAACAACATCAAATTCAACTATCATTTTACTATATAATTTTCTTACCCCTATTGGCATGTTTCGACTGAAGTTATACAGAACATGAGTGAATGCAAAAGTTAGAGTATAAAAAGGGCAAAATTTAAGTCACACAAGAAAAAGGAAAAAAAAAAAAAACCTAAAGCAACACATATTTAAAAGAATTACGCGACTTGAGGTACGAAATTGACCTTCACTCATATATGTATATATATATATGTAATAATTTACTGTAGTTCTATATGGAATAAATTTATGTTCCACGGCGCTTGACGATGCCACCAATCACTTGAATTGGCAGTGCGACTTTGGTAAGAGGTGGTGGAGGGTAGTGGAGCGCGTGGATACCATTCTGTTTTGTCATATAGACCATAATTTATTTTTCCTCTTCTATGTGACAGTTCAGTCAAGAATAAAAGTATTTTTATTTTAAAAATTATGTTTAAATGTATTTAATAATCTTTTTAAAAAAATTCAATGGTTATCAATTATTTAAAAAAAACCTTCTTCTCTTTTTTATATGTTGCATTTTTAAGGATTAAGATTATTATGAGGCTGATGTCATGGTAGGTGTTACGAATTTCCTTTTAAATTAACACATTTTGAATGCATATTTTGAATTAAAAAAATAGTGCACAAATTATATCGTATCGTCACGATGTTTAGGAACAATAATACAAAAGATATTTATCCAAAAAAATTTATTGATTTACCAAGAAAAATGGTGCAAAAGTTTTGTTATAATTGTGCATAAATTAACTCAAAATATTTTTAAATAAAATAATTTGATCGATTAATTAATTTAAAAAAAAGAATATTAGAGTTTGATTAGTTAGTGTGATTGTAATCTACTATAAATTAATTTTAACACAATTTTTCTTTACTGTACAATCTTGATCAATAATTGCATTTATTTATGTTGGATGATTTAATTTCCCACCAAATTAGAGTTCCAATCGTATCACAAACAAATCTAATTACTACTTAACATGGACTCCAGGGTTCGTGGAATGAGAGTGGGTAAAAAAAATTATAATAATAAAAAGTTCTCTCTCCCTAATCAATCAATGTGTGTGTGTGTGTGTGTGTGTGTGTGTGTGTGTGTGTAGTAGTATAAGAGAATTGCTAGATCCATATATTCAACAAAAAGAGAGAGAAAGCATAAAGTTGGTGATTCAAAACCTTATCCGCACCTTAAAAAAACATTTTTCTATCAAATCTCGTTTTTCACGAGTTTGCTTTGGCGTTACACAAAAGTCATTTTCCATATCAAGGGAAAAAGTGGAGAAAATTTTCGTGGAGGTTTCAATAATTTCTTTCTTTTTATTAACTGGTCTGTAATTTAACAGTACATGATTCTTATTTCTTAAAAGAAGGTCATGAATTCGAATCTCAGTAGAAATAGTGTGTGTGAGTCTCAACTAGAAAAAATAATAATAATAATAATTTCTCTTTCTTTTGGTTATTTAAATACTCGATAATGTTTTAGTTTGAATTTTATTTTTGGTTCGGATTTTCTGAATTTTGTTTTTGGAAAAAGAGAGTTAGATTTTGAGGCTGAACCTTGTAATTTATGCTGCGTTTGGTTTGTAAGAATAAAATGTCCATTCTAACTATTTATTTGTTTGGTATACAAATTAAAGTGGAAATGCCCATTCCATTAGACTGAAAATCCATTTCTATGAATTAAAATCCATTCCTCAACTAAACCTATGAAATGACCACTATTCTTTTATTTGGTATGCAAATTAAAGTGGTAATGACCATCCATTAGAATGAAAATCCATTCTTGGGAATTAAAATCCATTTCACAACTAAACCTATTGAATAGTCGTTTCATTCCTAAGTAATTTTTTTTTTTTTTTTTTTTTTTTAAATTTACCTCCCAAAAAACTCTCATATTCCAAATCAAAAAACCACCACTACCTTTCATCACAACCACCTCCGCTTTTTACCACCACCACCACTACCACCACCTACCACAACCACCACGGCCACCGATTTTTACTATCGTCCACCGCTTTCCATCACCACTACCTCCAACACCGCTACCGCTTTTTACCACCGACATCGCCTTCCTTTGTCGCAACCGTAACCGCTACCACCTTCCGCCACCGCCACTGCTACCGCCTTCCACCGCCACTACCTTTCACCACCACCACCACCACCGCCATCGTCTTTCACCATCACCACCACCACTGCCACCGCCTTTCACCGTAGCCACCGCCTTCTATCACCATTTCCACCTTCCACCACTGCCACCACATTTCACCGCCACTACCATCTCCTTTCAGCACTGCCACCACCTTCAATCGCTACTTCCTTCCAATGCCACCACCGCCATCCACCACCACTATTGCTACCGTCTTCCACCACCGTCTATCACCAACGCCTTTTACCACCCCACCGCCACCGCCTTTTACCACCTCCACCGCTACTGCCACCACTTTCTACCACTGCCACCGCCTTCCACCACCACTATCGCCCTCGCCACCACCTTCTACCACCACCACTATCTTTCACCACCGCCACCTCCTTCCTCCACCGCCACCGCCACCGCCACCGCCACCGCCTTCCACCGCCGTCTTCCACTATTGCCACCACCTTTCACCATCACTACCTCCACTGCCTTCCACCACCGCCACAGTCACCTCTATTGGATTCCACCTATACCACTATCTCCTTCCACCACCACACTATTGCCATCGCTTTCCACTAACACCACTGCCACCTTCCACCACCGCCGCCACCACCTACCACCATTGCCACCACTACCACATTCCACCATTGCCACCACCGTCGCCTTTCAACACCACCCTACACCACTACCACTTTCCACCTCCACCACCATCCACCACCACCACTGCCACCATTTGTTTTTTTAAAATTATTAGAGAATGTCATTTTGTTAATTTAATTTATTTGTTATTAAGATGGATATTTTGGAGAATTTAATTTGAAATTTATTCAATTCTAAATTTTAAATTGGTCCAACCAAATACTATAATGGTTATTATCATTCAATTCCTACACATTTCATATTTAAAACCAAACAATAGAATAAGAATCACCATTCCATTCTATTCCTATTCTTATTTCATTCCTACTTGCATTTCATTTTATTCTTACACACCAAACACAGCATTAGCAAAAAAAATTTAGTTTGATTTTTGCCGTGTATGCAGTCCAAATTTTAAATAAACTACATAGATTTGTGTGTTTGTATGTTACTGATTTGTCAAGGTATTGACACACGTTACATTATTTCAAATATATAGTCATTTCAATCATACATACCGTCAATTCATGCGCTAGAGTATAAAAACGATAACTTTATGTATAACAATATCAAGAAATTTATCTTTTGTAACATATTAAAAGCTTGTCTAAAATTGATATCTAAAGTTATATCGTCTGATTATGTTCTCCTTGTTTGATTTGTCCCAATTCATTTAGCTTTATGTTCACAAGTTTCGAAAGTTGCTCTTTTCAAAAGGGACCAAAAAAAAAAAAACTTTTTTAATAGTGGTTTCATATCACAAATTTATTTATTTATTTTTCATATTAAGGCTACTATTCTAGCAGGACTAAGTAATGAAAGAACAATATTCTAGTTATTATGTTTTTCATTTCATAAAGAGAATAAAAAACATTAGTCTCAATCAAAATGTCTCCATAATTGTTGCAAAGATTCTTACTTGGCCGGAATTTGTTGTGTTTTCATATTGATCAACTTAAGCATTCACATACTGCTCATGGAAAGGAAATATAGTTTAGTTGGGCTCTTACTTGGCTCCTTCCCAATCAAAGTAGACCAATCAAAGGAGCGGTGGTTGTTGGAAGTTTGTACTCCAGTAGTAATAGACTTGAATAGGAGAAATGGGAGACAAATTTTAGATGTCTTTTTCAAAACAAAATATTAATTGAAAAAGAAAATGCAATATATATATATATCATAGGTTTGTTTTGATAATGCAAAGAACCATCATACACCTTTCGATTTTTAATTAGCTGCTTGAAGATTTGCAAAACAAAATGTGACAACCCAGTGGTCCTGTTAATCAAGAATGCTAAAAATAACAATCTCTCACAAAAAATTGTGACAACCCAGTGGTCCTATTGATCGAGAATGCTAAAAATAACAATCTGCTCACAAAAAAATGTGACAACCCAGTGGTCCTATTGATCGAGAATGCTAAAAATAACAATCTGCTCACAAAAAAATGTGACAACCCAGTTGCCCTATTAAACGAGAATGCTAAAAATAACAATCTGCTCAAAATATCCCGCCGACAAAGAAGACCATCTATTCTCCTCCCCAATCAAAGAATAAATTTTCTCCTCCACCACTCGAGTGTTTTCCGACTAAAATCCTCACTTGCGAAACGATATCTAGTCCCCTCCGGTTAGTGATGCACATCAGGGAAAATGTTATGATGTTTAGCCTTGCATCATAACATTTTCATACCGTGCATCACTGACTAGAAGCAGGAGAGGATTTTGATCCGAGTTTTTCACAACTACCCACTGGGTAGCCAATCGAATTTGGCATGCCAACCGGACATGAACTAGTCCGGTTTTTAACATATTTTGATATGGATTGCATGAGCTACAACCAGAGCTCTCCTAGTTACACCTAAAAACCCATTTAACAACCATGCACACCATAATTTTTAGCCTAGGCCGAGAATCAAAATGTTAGCTAATTAGACGGGCATTATCCGAAAATAAGAAATGACCAAAAGCTTGAGTATCTTGACGGAAATGGTGCGTACAATAATTGAAATAGAAGACAGCATTAGTCGCCATAGATGCATTAATAGCTATTCACCCGTATAAAATTATGAACAATTATTCTGAGCAACTGAGCAAATAATTTTAAATACCTCAAAGTTGGATATTGATGAGAAAAATCAAAGTCTAGCTCTGGGAACTGGCTGCAGAGTGAAGAAAATTTTCATTTTTATTCGAACTCGCTCAGAATTACATTTGATAATTGTCCGTCATATTAGGGAGAAGGGGTTCACCCCGTAAGGCTACAAATGTGATCCAAAAAAATGAGGGGGGAGGTGGGGAACTTTTCCTTTCTTTTGTTTACAACTGTACCCGAAAAAAGAAATTGATGGATTGGTTTCAATGCTTTGAAAAAGTACAAATTGACGTCTGTGGATTTCTTTCCTTAGAGACTAGTATGAGTTTGTGGGACTGACTGCAATCAATTAACAAAATACATCAAGAAGATCTCAATGAATCCTGACGTCTAAGAGGAATACTTTCCTGACCAAAACCATTCTCCAGTTCTGCATGCTTGGGAAGTCGCAAGGATGGAGATGTTGGCAAACCTGCATATTATTTGATAACAGTATTCATCCATAAACATTATTTGTTCTTGTAAATTTCAGTTATTCACTTAGAAAATGAAAGTAAAACTTAGGCAGCTCTTTTTATCAAGTGCCTATGGTTTGTCGGGTGGTCCATGGTTATGGACCTAATCACGGGTTGATGGTAAAGTATACACCAGACGAAGTAAAGAAGCATACCTTCAGCCATGTCCTTCGTTTTGTGAAGAAGAAAGGTTCCAGAAAGGATTGTCACAAACCCGCACATCTCCGTGACAATCTGGGTTGGATTTTGCCTATCCCAGTCCTATTTACACAAAACCAAACTTGGACAATGTGATTTTCATGAATCTTTCAATTAAGTGGATGGCATAAATTATTGTTGGCAAAAGGTGCAATGGAAAATACTTCAAGTTGCAACGAGAAGAAGCAAAAATTACTTTCAAAATTCCAGCTCACTCCACATTTTACAAGGTTCAGACTATTTCTTTCGTCAATTTACAAATAAATTTTTTTTTTTTTTGATAAGTAGTCAATTACAAATAAAATTATGTCAGTCAGTCAGAAGAAACAACCAAATCGTTCATTATTAGTGGCATCCTGAACTCGCCCGTGCAGTAGATATGTGGGGAGTCTGGGGACAAACATATACAAGAAGGTGCAATACAAAAGTAAGGAAAGGTAAAAACATTCACGCACACCCATGGCTGTCCTACTTTAGTAACAAAGTCCACTGAAACAGATGCACTACTTGGAACAGAACAAGTCATTATGCAGCTGGACCCGCCTACACTAGTGTTGGGATGGCAAGCGGGAAACAAACTTGAGCTTTTGACATTATTTTTGCACAAAGTAACTGGCTCTCAAACCCGCTTCCTCATGATTGTCAGCTCGAGTTTTTACCATTGCAACAAGTATCGACTCTCATGTGCTACTCTGGGTATGAGAGACCCATTAGAATCATTCAGCTACTTTTTCACATAAATTACTGAAATTGTGGTTCATTTCATTCAATTTTATTTAAAACATTATTGCTGCCCACCTCACTCTAGGCTTGGTATAAATTATAATACCAGGTAGACACGACCACTTTGCTTCAATTATCACCATCACCACACCAATAGCAAAAGTCAATACTATAAAAGTTTATCTCAACCCATCCCTATCGAAGATAATCAAGAGAACATTAATCGTTTCTTCTTCATATGTGTATATATATTAACATAACAACCAAAATTCTTTTTCTTTTGTTTCAATATAATTTCCCAATCTATCATCTACTCCTAAGATGAAGTAGAACCACATCCCAATACATTATTCTACAACACACCTTCCTGTACTCGTGAGAATGGCATGTATCATCAAGGCAACCCATCAAGCAGACTAACTAGTCAAAAATTAAACTACAAAAAGAGAGGGAGGGGGGGAGTGAGAGAATGTTGGCAACTGTTGAACTCGCATCTGGCAAGCAAAACAGCAGAAGGGAGTGGATCTATTGCTCTATTTCCAAGTCATAACCCAACATTACCTACTACAGAATAATTTTATAAACAATAAAACCTAATGTGAGAATGTGTGGAAAAAGTAAACCTGGCCAATCACTTCCCTTTTTTTACTTGGTTAGGTGACTTCCTCCTATGTGAAAGCGCTTGGGCCAGATGGCCTTCGCGAAGTAGACAGCAACTTCGATAGTCACTCACTTTTGACAGTAATACGACCATCTATTTGCAGGTAGCACCTCAAATAATTCAACTAGTCAATCTGTATTTTCCTTTCTGGCCCTCTTCTTGCATAATTTTTTATGGGTGCAAGAATCCTAAAATATGTGTCAGTAATTTTATCAAAAGTCAATCACATCTCTTTTCAACCATTTCATTAAAGCTGAGTTTTTTCAGATACTTTCAATAGGAAACAAAAGGGACACTCATATCAGTTGAACTTGTAATTATACAAAGACAGATCATGGAAGATGATTGACACTATATAGGCATGAAAAAATATAACACCTATTACAACAACCAACATCAGGATAAGGCTGCAGTAAATTGAGTTACGGAAATAAAGTGTGCAGATTAAGAAATTTGAATATTTTAAAGAATGTCTAGTGCACACAGTTAAACAATAAAGCATCTGATTCAAGCAGTTCTAGTGTAGTGACTGTAATATGATCAAGCCAGAATGTAAAATATTACGAGCTAAAGTTTTACCTTAAACATGATCACACTCGCTAAAATGGTGAAAGATGTAAACATGACATAGTATATGGGAGATACAACAGCTGTGTTGAATGTGTCAAGGGCCTGCATTGAAGATAAAACAGACCAGGGGAATCAATTAGAAGCATGCACGAAAGGGGAAAAGGCTGGTTATAAAAAAGGACCATGTATATAAATATTTATAAAATAATCTAATATAGATGGTATTTTTCTCATTAGCACCACTTTAACTAAGGATCAAAGCCAGATTTCATGTTTGCACCTCAGCTAACAGAAAGTTAGGATCTGATCACATATAAATGTTGATCCCTGTTTGAAAAATCTATACATCAGTTAAATTGATTCCAAAACCCAGCTAGTCCAGGATGTAATTCAATTAAAGCAAAACCAAGGTGTCTCACACATTCTACTGTCACTTTAACGATATTTTTTTTCTGTTTCATGAACATAAATATATATTTTGTACAATTCTGATCACTTACTTAACATGCTATCTGCATTTATGCAATTCTACAGGAATTCTTGTACTTTTTTAATAGGTAAATATGCACACACAATTGCCCCCTCCAGGGGCTTGAACCGTTAAACCTTTCCTTTTGGGAGGAGGACACACCACTCAAGCCAAGGTTTTGCTATTACTTAAATATAAAAATCGGTAAGGTTTACATATAATGCACATTAAGTTCTAAAGATATGGAAAGGATAATATATAGGCTTCATTCCATTAATATCATTGGATAAACATCTTCAACAGTAACCTATCCATGCGGTTACATGGAAGATAATACCATAACAGTACTTTTTATACCATTAAGTGTGAAAATTCTACACTCTTTTTTCAATAATCCTGCAAGGAACTAGAGAGACAAACTGCCAAAACCCATGAATATAGCGAATCTACAACCATTGAAGGAAGTGCTAACCAATTTTAACAAATCAGCAATAGCAATGAGACCAACTAATAACGATTGAGTGATGTTGAGCAGTTGGTTTGCCGACACAAAAATGAAGTGGCACAGGATACACTAACTAGGAAGAAAACAATTCCTTGTTGAGGGCAATAATATTCAAACTGACATTACACAGAACTCCAAGATTACCATTTGTTAAAGCCTGGCATCTCCACACAAGCTAAAGGGAACTGATCTGGCTATACACTGGAATTAGTGGGATGTGGTCTGCATAATTGCGCTTGCCTCCATATCTCCCTGTATATTTAATTCCAAGTCCAAAAATTCCCCAATTTTGGAAACACTCATTCTATCCACAATCAAGAGACCGACTTTGTCCCCCTACTATCACAGACTTCATATTTGTAACAAACCTGATCCAAGTTCTGTAAAGTTTTTCCCAAATATCCATGATCATTTGTCCAATCAACCAAATAATATATAAAAGCCACTCTCTGCCATGCACGTAAATGTTTCTTGCATCCTTGTCAATTTATCTTTGACAAGAAGGCACCAAAAATTTAAATGTAATGACCAGGAAACTTCAGCCTTGCGTCACTGACCCCATTTAACTTTAAAAAACACAATCATAGAAATTTTTAAGCAGTTGTTATATTTGTTCCACTAAAAGACATATTACACAATATTAAGTTACACAGTAAATAATTCAGAAAAAAAAAAAATTACACAGTAAATATTTTATACTTGTTACCTTTTTTTTTTTTTGGTAAGTAAGAATTTATCCTTATTACTGCTGGAGACAGTTGCTGTTTTGCTTGTTCTGCATTTTTCTACACCTACAGTGCCCATACTCGTTTGCTTGGGTTTTTTTTATTTTTTTTTTTCCCCACTCCTTTTTGGTAGGCTATATTCATGAATCGTGGAGTTGGGGTATGCTCCTTGTAAATTGTAGATATTTCTTGGTGTTTAGTCTTATACGTAATTACCACACCAAAAAAAAAAAAAAATGACAGTTCTTAAGAAACACAATGATCTTGAAGAAAATAAAATATATTATTGAGAAAAGCAAGCATGATACATCAACTACGCAGATAGGAACTAGAAGGTTCAAAGGGAGATCTTCTAGTATGCTAGAATCGTTATATAGATTTGCCCTCTGTATATGTCTTGTGTACATGGGTGCGCCACTGCACCCCCTTTGGCGCTTTCTAATAAAACTACGTTCCAATTTACAAGAAAAAAGATAAAGATGGTCAAAGAAAGAAAGAGTATAATTATGTGAAGGAAAAAGAAACACTCATTACCTTGTTTAAATAGTTTATTTGGGTAACCACACAAGTAACAACAACCATGGTGAAGGCCCATGTTTCGGGATATATTAGCTGATTCATTCCCGATAATGTTAGCTTCAAAGCAATTCCAAGTGCTTTGACACTCATGACCTGTCAAAACATAACCCCCAGGATAAACTATTTTATTCGTAAATAACACAGCAAAGACAGCAGAACAAAGAAGTGACTGTGCGAAATGCCAATACATACCGACAAAGAACCAATTAGCGAACAAACTCCAATATAAGCCATTATATGTGTCTGGTGGCCATCTTCTGGGATAAAGTGGAATATAATTATGAACACAGCTGTTGTCACCAGAGCTGCATACAAGAGAAAGGCTGCCAAAAAGATGTGGCTCATTAATGTAGTTGGTCACACTTTTTCTTTTTCCTCAATTTTTTTCAAATCCAAGTTATGGACATGATATTAAAAAGGTAAAAGAAAGGTAAAGTTTGGATTACCAGCCAAAAAATTATGCAAGCAAATAAATTACCTGGCTCAGTAGCAAGGTTCCACACTTCTTTAACGGATTCAATCTCACGTTCTTGAGGCGCATGCAGAACAATTGTGGTAGAACCCACAACGCACAAAGCACAACCAAGAATCCCAAAAGTATGCAGCTTCTCCTGTAAAATAATACGTGCAAGTACAGCACTGCAATACAATACCGTCATTACCTGTCAACAAATAAGAATAAAAATTATATATCATGTGGAACTTCAATCATGCCTGATAATGATGCTGAGTGCACCAAGAGGAGTGACCAGAATAGCAGGTGCAAATGCATAAGCTGCAAAATTAGCAATTTCTCCAACAATCACTGTGCCAAAAAAACCACCCATTAGCTTATTCATTCTCAGGAAAATTAATTGACTACAAGCAACTCGAGTGGTGGGTGTAAGGAAACTATAGTACTTGTCAGAGAAATTTCTGGATGATACCACCTAAAGTAAAAGCTAATTATGGAAACAGCAACAGCCACAAAACAGCAGTTTTTGGATGATACCACATAAAGTGGAAAAAACAGCTAATTTTAATGACAACACAACAATAACAAAATGACGATGACTACAATGCCAATGAGCAAAAGCATAACTGAAAAGGCCAATCAAATTTCATGATTGATCTAAGTAACACCCGCATTTAAAATGATGCATCTTTAAAACTCATAGTAGGTAAGTTTATGACTATTTCTTTTTCTCATTATCGTGAAGGAATATTCTAATAAAATTCTATGCTTCATGGCAGTAATATACTCTAAGAAAGATAATATGGAGGAAGATAGAAATAACCTTAAAAGTAATCACATCCAAGGGTAGCAAGAGAACCTTTTTCATGTGAATTCATATAAACAATCAAGATAAGCAATGCATTTATCAATTAATTAGTGATATAAGAAGAGAAAGGTCATTCCAGTTACAATATTAAGAAGTGATGTAAAACCAGAAAGAAAGCAGGGGATGAGAAGACAGAAGAAGAGGTGTGACTAGAAAAAGGGAGGGGTTTTACCATACCAGCCACCAGTTATTCCATAACTTATGTTTCGGATGTGTGGCTCGTATGCCATCAATTTACAATTTTACATCATCATCACCACCATCATACGTGTAAGTAAGATCCATTTGGGCGACATGAGTTTTATTGCATTACGCAATTCATTAGGACAATTAACTTCAACTGCTATGACTTCAAAAAATGGACAGATAATAGTTTATCATAAATCACAAATGCATGCAGTCAAACTTTTTTTATAATATAAATAAAGGACAATCTGCACAGCTAAGTTTTCACCATAAACATAATTTTACAGTTTGTGATCTGTTACAGAGAAAAATCATATAAACTGAACTAGCATCACAAATTCGACAGTTGATCTAATTAATAAATTGTCAACAAACAAAATTAATAAAAACTCACTTGTTATCATGCCCACCCACCACAGTGGTTCATACAAGTACGAGTAGCCTCCGACTCCTGTAAAAATAATCAATGCAGTTACTGCTGAGACTGGTAAAACCTGAAAATAATTGGTGCTAAAGCAACAACCAATGGACAATACCTTCTCTGTTCTGAAGATGGTAATAAGGCACATCCGTAAAACAGCCACATTGTGGCTCTCCTTATCATTGTTTCAGTAGTATTATTACAAGGAAAAGGTAGATGGATGCCATCACAATTTCATAAAATAAGATAAGATTCTTTTAACTGAATTATGCAACATTTAACGGCAAGTAAGTTCTGCATTCTCATCTCATAGATGCAAATGTCCCTCTGCTTCCTTCAAGGGGACATTTTTAAATTGGACATCGTTTTATAGGTTTTTAAATTAGTATTAAAAACAATAAAAAATGAAACATTTAAGATACCACAAAAGCTTAGAAAAACTAAGAACGTGGTAAGTACAAGACACCATAACAAAATGCAGTTTACCCACAAAACAAATAAAAAAGCCACCACACACATACAAAGGAACATACACCCATGGGTAGAAAGAGAGAATTACACATCTAAGAACAACTTTATTTTCCCGACTTAGAAGCCTATACAACAAACAATTTCACCAACTTTTTTCCTAAAATGGAGAATCCTGAAGTCCAAATTGATACAAAGTTTTCTATAGTGACCACTCCTGAGTCCCGACCCCACTCCCAGCTCTATCAACCAAGAAGGATTATAGGCGAGCACTCTAAAGCAAATACAATGATGAATATCTTATAAATGGAATATAAATCTACAATCAATTGGTTGCATTTAGAATATTCCAGTCCATTCAACATAAACATATTTATATATCCATTCAACCCAAAAGCTTTTAAGTTTAATTCCAAATAATTGATCCTTGTGGCATATATCAAACAAGCGCTGAAATATATGCCATGATACCAAAATTAACAGTACATTGGTTCCAGAGATCAAATTTGACATACTTCAATAAAGCATCTGTGGAAAACCAAAGATCAAACAAGTATGAAACAAATTCAAGCATCCGAGACTGCAACATTACTTTATTTTCCACTACATTAACAAATTAGAATATTAACGAATTTGAAGAACCAACTGAAACTTCTTAATTTGATGCGAAAATTTTCAATTTCAAGTCAAATTAAGTCATTATCAGAGCCCTAAGTCAAATTAAGTCATTACCAGCCCTAATTCCGGAAGCACCGGCTTTCTTTAAGCCCTTCTTTTTGACGATGAAGCTTGCACCGATAAAGACGCTTGACGACAACGCCAGAACCAAACCCTTGATGTTGTCAGAGGACATGCCCTTGTACGAGTCTCTCCAGCTGTGAGAAACCTCCATTGCTACTACTGAATAAACCCTAGTTCTCAAGGGGTCAGTTCACTATATCACTATAACTTGAAGATCACTGAGCACGGATACAAACTGAAGAATGGATCGAAAGAAAAAAAAAAACTGTGGATCTTATATAGAGAATGTGTGTATAATGTATATTGTTTGCGTATATATGTTTGTCGACATAGAGAGAGATGACAGTGAGGTGAGAGGAACAATGCTGTGTGAGAAGTTTCGAAGATCTGTCGGCACTCGCAGGAGAGAGAGAAGTTTGTGCACAATTAGACTGATGTTAGAGAGAGAGAGAGATATTCGTTTCGAGGACAATGAAGGAAATTAATACAAGTCCCGATTCGGTTTCTCCGACCCTCTCACCAAAACAAAAATGACAAGTGTGTTTTAATCTAGACCGTCCAATACCGTGCATAGGATCTCGAACTATTCTGTCTCTTATTTTTCGGTAATTAATTTGATTTTCAAAATATGAGATAAATGAAACATACAATTTTCACTAGAAATTCATGATTTATGTTTTTATTTTATTTTTACTTTTCAAACATTTCTCCTCAGTCCTCACCGGAACTGCTTCATTGCGATCAAATTCAACCTGTCAAACTGGGAAAAAAATCTTTCCAGTTATTCTCTCCGTCTGACTATGGTAATTAACGACACCTCCTTAATATAGTCTTATTATTACCAAATTAGCGCCAAGACAGTAAGTTTAGAAATAAATTTACTCTTGACTTTACCATGTATATATATATACATACATACATACATACGAATACCTTTATACGTTATACTTTACATAATATAAATATTATTATACAATTTAACTTTACATTTTAATTTAAATTAAAATATATTTTTTAGTTTTTCTCTTTTGTATCGGGAAAGAAATCGTTCACATCTTGTTCGTGAAAAAAAATCGTCTCGTTGTTATGTTCTTCCCTCTTGTAAATAGTCCGTTCTTCTTTCAGAACATGTCTGATTTGTTTCTTTGAATAGATAGCTCCTTAATCACAAACCATTACTTAAGAAATGAATTCTGAATTTGTTTTACGTTTGGTCTGATTTTGCTTCTTTTATACATAATTCTGATGAGATAAAGTTTTCATTTCATTTGGATGGAGAGCTGACATTTTGGAGGTAGGGTTTTGTTGTTTCTTTTTGGGACTCCTAAATTAGAAGTTAAATTCATTAAATAATACAATATATATGTTATATAAGGAAGTTGTATGTATAAATTAGAAACTAAGTAAATATAACTCAACCCAAAACAGCTTTCTTTACTCCTCATGGATGATTCCAGAACAAGCTGAATCTGATTATATACCACATTTAATTCTACTTAACAAAATTAAGTTGTTGGATTTCATGTCCTTTCCCTTTGAATTCAATGGAGAACCTCAAACACCTACATACTAAAATGATCACTGCATAACTCTCGTTTTAAGGGGGCTAAAACATGAAAATTGCCGACCCTTTGAAAAATCAAATTCCATGGCAAAAAATATGTGAACAAAAAGATTATCTTTAGTTTTAAATTTTAAATGGAGTTTCAAGCTAGCTGTTCACATAGTTGAGTTCGATTTTTGAACTAATTCAATAAACATGTTGACCAAGACACCTTATGATTTAGCTCTTTAGATTTAAAAACATGTTAAAAAATATGTGTTTGTGAACAAATTCATTACAACTCATAAACATAACTTACTAAGTGATTATTTTAATTTAGGGTTAAGTGCAAAAAATTCTCTCGCTATATAAAAAATGTGTAAAAAATATCCTTATTAGAAAAGAAAAACAAATGCATATAACTCCTTGCATTATCTATCTTTTGAGCAAATTCCCCCAATTGAATAAATCTGTTGAAAAATAACAGTTGGTGATGTCATTTTTTAAAAAAATTCAAAAAGTATCATTTTTGTGTAACAAAAATGGCCCTACCAATTATATATATATTTGAACAGGATTTGTTTGCAAGTACTTGAAGACCTGTCCATATAAAATTTTCTCTTTAATATTTTTTCTCTTTCTAAGATATCTCTATGTTGCCCATTTAGCAACCTGTTGCCAAGAAGACATCATTTTTATTTTATTTTTATGATACTATATTTCATTTGGTTTGTCAAATAAGATTTTGGATCTGTACATTATTTCAATATATACATATAGAGATAGAAACAAGAAAATATTATTTTCTAATTCTATATATTTTCCTTCTATTCCTAGAACTCTCCTTAAATAAGAAAACATAATACACCTCTCTAATTTTTTTGTTATCCCTCTAAAATTTTCGTGTTTTTTTTATCTCTAAAATAGAGCACTCGGAATTAGCAAGCGCTAAGAATTTTCATAGTATCCAATCCAATTTCAATCTCTCAAAAAAGATCAAAGAGAAAAAAATTAAGAACCAGTTACAAATTTTCGGTATAAATAAATATAAATCATAAAAAAATGATATATGAAAAATAGAGAGAAAATTAGATAAAATAAATTACAATATTAGGAAATTTGGATCAATTCTATGAGTATTCTTGTTTGTGTAGACTTGTTTATTTTTTTTTTGCAAATTTTTACACTTACATATTCTTTCTTCAAAATTTAAATGTGTACACCAATACAACATGTCATTCCTTACTGGTTAATCAGTGTTGTCTCAGACTTCTATAAATATTTGGGCTTATTTATGTTTATGTAATGAAAGATAAGGCTGGTAGGTGCCTAAATAAAATATACATATACAAGAGATTGAAGAGAAATATTCCATAATATGGTGTGTGTGTGTGTGTATATATATATATATAATTATATAGAGTCTTGTTAAGTTATGGCAGGAAGCCAAAAATCATATATGAATTTAAGAATAATTTTGACATCTTGCTTTTTACTTTTTCTTTTTTTGTTTTTCATTTTTTTGTTAATAATAAGTAAGGTTAATTTGGTAATTTTACCGTCAAAATTATGATTTGTTCTTATTTACCCAAATTGAAAAAGGTAAGAAAGTTTTTCAAACAATAAAGGGGTAATTGCAAATTTTTTATATTATTAGAGAATTTTTTGCACTTAACCTTTTAATTTATAACAAATTATTTGTTGTTATGAATCTTGATATTATGCTATAATTTGACATCAAGTTTGGTTAAATAAACCAAACAACCGAGTTCAAACGATGAATAAGTAAATTTAAAACTTGAGTTAATTATCAACCTCAAACTCAAAACACTTCAAAGTTGAACTCATTTACAACTCTTAAATATGAATGTTTTTTAAATCATCTTCCAAACTAAATTATGATAATAATGGGAGAAAAGATAAAATTTGATATATGTTAAATAAAATGAAAAATGACATTATTAAACTCATTTAAATACATTACAAATAAAATGTTTTCAGTCTTCACTATTGTATAAAAGAAAAGTTATTGACGTCAAAATTATCTTCAAAACTTTTCAAGCACAAATACATTAAACCATGTTTGACTACAAATATAAAAGTTTATACATTTCAAAAAAACTAAAATTATTTGAAAATATGCACGATACGTCTTCTGATATTTAAATTTAAGAAGTGAAGTTTTAGATTTTAGTTTTATTTTTATAGTCCGAATATCACATCACTTATCATACTTTATCATTTAAAAACCATGAGCGGAATAAAATGATAATATTGAACACTCATCATATTTGTTTTATTTTTTTTTTTCCGGACAATATAACTCACCATGTTCGAAAACAAATAAATAATTAAGGAATGAAAAATCAGTAAAAGGTAAACTTTTTCGTCTCGCTGGATAATAGATTATATTATAAAAAGAAAGAAAGTAAAGAAAATAGTATTACTCGAGTGGAAAATCAGAATAATAATTAATTTCATTATTTGTTAGAGAGAGAGATAAAAAAAACAGGAAACAAAACGGGTCTGAACCGTTAATGGACGGGTTGTCTCGCTTCGACTTGATTCTGAATCTCTGATAGTATTATACTCCTCCCCCAGCGGCGGCGATTTATCACTTTGCATCTCTCTCCCACTAGCAACCAGTCATTGTAGAGAGAGAAAGTCAGATTAGGCAACCATCGACCATGGCCGCCGTTCAATCATTTTTTCAACAATGTCCATCTGCTTCCGTTAATTCTCTCTCCATCTTCCACCCCAATTCTTCATATTCTTCTCCTTCTGTTCACATATCTGTGAAATTCTCCGTTTCTTGTTGCTCTCTGGCGTCTCCTGTAACAGTGGTGAATGTAAACGTAGACAAAAAGGTCCCTGAAAGGAACGAGATCCGTCTCGGTTTGCCAAGTAAAGGTCGAATGGCAACAGATACTCTGGATCTCCTAAAGGTATTGCCACTCTCTCTCTCTACACACACATGCATATATATATATATATATATATATATATATATATATATATATATATATGTATGTGGCTTATGACAAATTTGTATATATTTTTAAATATTTTAATCTATCTCTATCTCTAATTTGTTTCTTTTTGTTTGCGTTACTTGATATGTGCCAAAAGGATTGTCAATTATCTGTCAGGCAGGTGAATCCTCGGCAATACGTTGCAGAAATACCTCAGGTAATGATTTAGATTTCTGAATTATTTTGTATGTTATTGGGATGAAACAAACACGGTATATGAAAATGACAACTAAAAGCATTTTCTGGATAGTCATTTCCAGAAATCACTAAGGAAAAATTCTATGAAAATGGGCTGTTTTCTTAGGAAACTGCAAACAGAGGTTTTTACATTCTCACAAAAAAAAAAAAAAAAAAAAGAAAGAAAAGAAGAAGAAGAAGAGTAAGAAGAAAAAGAAGAAGAAGAGAAAAAAGAAAGATAGGGAGAGAGAGCAAGTTAAGTAATTTCAAATGGACAAGCTTACCTCGAAAATGTATTTGGTCATAAAATAAAACCTAGACCTTGCCATAATGCAGCCTAAAAGTCGGGTTGATTACTAAACTTGCAGCCTTAATCATCACTCAACATTTTGTTTGCATTGCCAGATAGTATATCAGGTTTTACTAATAGTTAAATTGTCATTCATTTTGTCGTTGTTAAGTGCCATATATGATCCTTAGGCATCCATGCCCCTCATTTTACACAAATGCCAATATGTCATTGCGCAAGTATTCTTATACACCACATATCTACCACAAAAACTTTATCGTGGATAGTATTTTGTTCATTGACAATATTTAAGTTCGTAAGCATTTTTATTGTATTTGCGAGTTAGAGCTATTGTCTAGAAGTTTTTTCTTCCCTTTGGGATTTAGGAGGTCAGGCTTTGATAAGCAAGCTGGGTTTTGAATTCTTGGAAAGTAGTAGAGTGAGCACAAAAGTTAAAGATGTGTCGGGGAAGCCCTTCAGCTTTTGGCCGTGCATTTGAACAGAACATGCTCTTTTGTTGCAGTGGCAGAGTTGAATGCTTTGAAAGAACATATGTTTCGAATTTCCTACATCTTTTTATGATGTGGAGATCCTTATTTTATGTTAATTATTCCATATTTGTTAAGTTTTTGGGTGACATGAAGTTATAGTTTTTGAGGTCATGAGGTCAAACCTTGGCTTGCTTCAGTTCTAGTTGTTAAGCTATGCAACCCAATTTTGTGGTTAACGAGGCTGCTAGTTGAGCTCAGAGAGCTCTCTATCTAGACAAGCCAGCTTTGCTAGGAGGCAAGGTGACAGAAAGGAGATTCTTAGAACCTGTTCAATAGGAGGAAAAATAAAATGAAGAAGGAAGGGGGGAAGGCAGGGGGAGGAAGTGGGCCACCATATATCTTTTTCCCAAAATTTGAAGGAAAGGAGTGAAGCATTTTTCCTTCTTTATTTTCTCGTTATATTTTGCACTTTAAAGAAGTTTGTCCTTAATTATGAAACGGTATAATGGTCCAATCACGCAATACTCCTTCCATTCCTTACTTATTTCCTTACTTTTTACTTTTTATGCTCCACTTAATGTTACAAGGGATATGTTCTTTCCTTAGTTTTTTTTGCCAGGAATACATCTTTCCTTTGTCCTACCTTCTCTTCCTTTAAATTCTCCGTCCTTTGCAGCAAACTTGCATTAAGAGACAGGACTACATTGAGACAAGTTTGCTGCTGACATATGGCTGGTGGAGGTTTATTATCTTACTTATATTCCTGCCAAGATTTTATAGAAGTGATTGGTTGTGCTGTGTTCTAGATATACTTGAAACATGATCTAATGTCATTATGTTATTTTTGTCCATGATTTTTTCTTGTTCTTTTTCTTTTCTTTTTCTTTTTCTTTTATTCTCCCGCCATTTTTTTTTTTTTTTTTGTATGCATTGTACTTGGCATCTGAATGCTTTATTACTTATTCAAAACCATCCTGAAGTTTATGACTTTTGTTACTGGGACTTACATCATTTTAATGTCTTGCAGCTCTCAAACTTTGAAGTTTGGTTTCAGCGACCAAAAGACATTGTGAGAAAACTGATATCTGGAGATTTAGACCTTGGTATTGTGGGTCTTGATATTGTTAGTGAATACGGACAGGTAAGACTTGAGAAATATAAATGAGTCGTTTCATTTGATTAAGGGCAAATTCATAGCACATCAAGAGTTAAATGAGAAGCAAACAACTGGTGAACTCTCTCACATATGGTTATTTCCTGTCCAAGGTTTCTAGTGTCAATGATTATCTTATAAAAAAAAAAAAAAAATGGTTCCTAGTGTGAATTTAACTATGTTCCTTTTAGAATTAAGAAGTTCTGTTAGTAATTGTATGCATTATTATTATTTTAAATAGCAATACATTATGCATCTTAAACTACCTTATCATGTGCTAAGTTAATGACATGTAGCTTTTCTCATTGAATGACAATTCATGGCAAGTGATGCACTGCACACCATTTCTAGTTTTCTGTAGATGTGTTCCATTTAAAGTTTTGCTGTACTAATTAACGAATATTTCATGATACATGGATTTTGTTTTAGTTATCACTAGGCTGTTGAAATGCTCATAAGTAAAAATAAATGTCATGTCCCATATCAAAATTTTCGAATCAGGGGTCATTAAAAGGAAACTTAATCCTCATTTCGTCTTCCTTTTATTTTATTTTATTTTAAATCTTGGAAAGTATTGAAAGAAATGATAGTGTAGGATACAACAAGGCATATCGTTGTAGATGGAGTTGAATGGCGATAAACGTTAGTGACCATTAGTAGTTGGGATTATGCCTTGAGATCTAGGTTAATGGCTAAAAAGATCAACTTTTATGTTCTTGTTCCATTTCACTATTGTTAAATGTGAATGGATTTGTTTTTCTTTATGTGAATGACTTTGGAGGTGAAGGTTAACTTCTTCGATGCTCAGATTCAACCTTTTGGTGTGATCATGTCCTCATTTTGTTGTGATCAACCTATTTCTTTGGGCCAAGTTACATAACTAGAGATTGAGAGCCAAAAAGAAAGAGAGAGATTGTAATATTTTTTGATAATTAAAGATTTGACTAAAAGATGCCAAAAGGGGGTAAAAAAGATTAGAATATCTGTATAGGGACTATTATAACATGAAGATCAATTAGATGCTGATTTTATCTTTTGAATCATAAAGTAAGCATAAGAGAACTTATTTGTTTATTTTTTCTAGAAATTATTTTGTTGTCGCGATTCTAGTGTTAAAATTTAGCGGAGGCATTTATCTGATAGATTGTAATCAATTTTCATAAACAAAACAAACTGAGTTTTGGGAAATTTTGGTTTAATCCTACGGCACCTTATCATTATATTACCAAATTAATGAAATGTTTGTTTGGTTAGACATATGGAACCATGTTTCAAGTGGAATCCTGCCTAGTTTAGCATGGAACCGTGTTAATCCTCAAGCCCGGAAACTGCATTATAATATTATACGACTCCCACAGTGGGGTTACAAGTGTGTACCTAACCATGGGGGTAGCGAGTTGTAGACAAGACATTTTTCATAACTTCAACTTTCGAAATTTGTTCAAATGTGCTTGCAGTGTTATTTAGTACCACAGTTGCTAAAATCTCTTACTTCTTTTTCTGCATTATGTTCTGTAGTTAAACAAAGAAGATGCCTTTCACATGCTGATGCTTATTGTTACTGTTGAGATTTGTCCTGATATCAATTTAATTTATTTGCTTGTTCATTATTAAGATTGATTGTGTGGGAAATCATTAATCTTTGAAGATTGTCATCTGAATTACTTGTGGCAGGGGAATGAAGATCTAATCCTTGTTCATGATGCACTTGAGTATGGAGATTGCCGTCTATCCCTGGCAGTAAGTCACTGTTCTTGTTCTTTTATCACCAGTAAGAGCCCGTAGTAGTTGCAGTTATACTGATAATATAATTGTTTTTTTTGCGTGTGTGTGTTGTCAGATACCCAAATATGGGATTTTTGAGAATATAAATTCTCTGATGGAACTAGCACAAATGCCTCAATGGACAACTGAGAAGCCTCTCAGAATTGCCACTGGTTTCACTTACGTATGATGCACTTGATTATTCTATTAGTCTGTTTAAATTTTTTTTTTTTTCAAATTATATTTCTTTTGTTAATATCTATCAGGAATTCCAATTTGTATAATTTTAGTTTCTTTTCTGTTTTGTCTACAGTTGGGTCCGAAATTTATGAGAGAAAATGGTCTGAAGAACGTTACTTTTTCAACTGCTGATGGAGCATTGGAGGCAGCTCCTGCGGTGAGACTTTAGAGCTAATTATTTCTGCAAATGATTACTTATGATGTAACTATGCTGCCACTTCCTTAATAATCAACATGATATACCAGCCCGTGGGGATTGGATATTGTATGAAAACTTGGAGTCTCAACATCTTATATGCCCATGATACAATTCTTTTTTCTCAAATAGTTTCTATTTTTTTTATCAGATCAGTACTCTCTCTCTGTATTTATATTTAGTTTGGCAGGCACTTGCACATATGACATAGGGCATAAATTGCATATTTTTATCTATTACACCATCAATTTTGAAAATTTATGAGGTCTAGAGCACCTCCAGAGCAAGTATATGTTTAGTTATCAATTAATTTAATTACATGTTTGTCCATGATATGTGTATGCATGGAAAGGGATTATGTGCAAGTGTATTATATAAAAAATGGCCACCATAATGTACAAACATATGAATAGGTCTAGTAATTGATTCCTTGCCCTTCAGCCTTTAGGAAGGGAGTTGGGGCATTGTTAATTGGTTTTATTAATATTACTATTAGTAGTATCAGTTTGTTGGTTGTTTTTTTCCCACAGAATTCTAGTTTGCCTAGAAATTCGCAAATCCAAAATTAAAATCCTCTGTTTTTACTGGGGATTCCCAACAACTATTATCTGCAACTTCCTCAAGTCGAGCTATTTCAAGTCTGCTTCATGATCCTATCATGCTACATGGAATTTGGTTGTCCGTGACTGTGCCATGGAAATTTAACTATTCTATTGTGGTTTACATGGGGTTTGGTATAACATGAAAACATCATTATATTTTGCAAAATAACATATTTTTAATTAATTATCAAGCGTTTATGGAAAAGAAGATTTATTGAGATGTTATTGGTTCGTTTGAGATTATGTTGGACTACTAATTTTTTTATCGTGAATCAAAGCACCTCATAAATTTTTTTATTAGGTGGTTGTTGGGCTCACAAGTTCATTTACTAGTGATATGCTGTACATGGTGAGAGCTTCTCCCAAAATATGATGTGATGTGGGTGATCTCTGGAATTTGTACCAATTAATAATCTTTCAGTTTCTATTGAATAATTGTGACTATGATCACTAGGGTGTAAAATTGTACGGAAAAACACTGAAATTTCCTTGCGAACCTTATGATGTTGGACGACATACTTGTTTTTAGCTTTAGTCTGTCTTATTTTCTTGTTTCCTTCCCCCTTCCACTGCACCTGTGGGGGACCTCTATCATTTCTGCAATTCTCTTTCATGGGGTTGGGTTGCTTCTATACATCAATGGCCATTTTCTGTAAGGAATGGACCTTTTTAATGATTATATTGTAGGAATCTTGATTTAGGATTTTATTCTATTGTCATGGCTTTTCAGCAGTATGCCAGCGGCCAGCCATTTCCATCCTTCATTTATTTTTTTATTTTTTTTTACCTTTCATTGAGTTTCATGGATTCTGATTGATGTGGAATTGAAATTATTGTGAGAAATTATAGTTCCAACTCCAATTCCAAGCTAAAATATAATTTCATTGTTGGGATGGCACACAAAATTATAATAGAGAATCTAACTTCTTATCTGATGCACCACAAGGATCCAGTATCGAATCTCCTTTCCCAGAAAAAACCATGCTCACCTACCAGTGTACACACTGCTCCAAATATGAAATAAAGTAGATTACTTCATTCAAAAACTTTATGAAAAACAATCTCTCTGATTAAAATAGAAATAATTTATGAAATTGTTTAGGAATAGAATATGAAACAAATGATGTTAAAGTGAGAGGGAATTCATAAGAGAGTCCTTTTTGATCAAACCTTTATGATTTTTTCTTGATTTGGTCAAACAGAATTGAGAATTGCTTAAATTTTCTTTGGTCTTGCTGGGATAGTGTCGGTCGTCAGATTCTGTTTTGTCTGTGACTGTTCTAGGGTTGAATTTGAAGCAGCAGTAGTGGATTCTATGATCAAACAAGCAACAAGCGAATTTTCTAGGGCTAGATTGGATTCAACGATAGATTGTATGATCAAACAAGCAATGAGCAACAGTGAGGGCCTTCCATAGCGAATGTGTTATATTAAGAACTCTTTGCTTTTGGAATTTAAATCCTGAACCAACTCCGAAGAATTACAATCTGCATGTTACAGGTTATTCAAATTCCATGGAATTAATCTATTCTGAGGCTCCCAAACACCAGAAATGGAATTGGGCACACCAATTTCAAGTCTCTGTCCAACACACACACTCCCATTCCTATTGTGGCTCCATTAATGATGGTCATAAGTTTATAACTGAATTAATTACTAATAAAAATAAATTAATTAGAAAAACTGACCATTTTTTACTTGCTATAGGCATAAGGTTACTTTTTGTTTGGACATAGTTTAGAAAATTAGGATTGATATTATTCAGTGCAGTACAATGTCATTGCTGATTTTGCATAGGATTTTCCTTTGAAATTTGGTCCTTCAATAGCCTGTCAAGTTACCTCACCCAGCCTTACTTGTTGACCTTTAAATTCTGATATCATTCCTTGAACTATTGCAACACTATTATAGTACCTTGATAAACTGTACTCGCGCTATTTCCACATGGTACTTGTATTAATTGCTTTACTTTTTTGTTATTTTAGATGGGTATTGCTGATGCTATTGTGGACCTTGTGAGTAGTGGAACCACATTGAAAGAGAACAATTTGAAAGAAATTGAAGGAGGAGTTATCTTGGAAAGTCAGGTAAACTCTGCCATTTGTGCATTCACCTAGTTTTGAAAATGTTGTTAGATAAGGGTTTTAGGTATCTTGTCTTACCTCAGGTCAAATTTTTCAGGCTGTCCTTGTTGCTAGCAAGAAATCACTGATCCAGCGGGAAGGTGTACTGGACATAACACATGAAATTCTTGAAAGATTGGAAGCACATTTGAGGGCAGTTGGTCAGTTCACGGTGCGGATAATGTGCTTCTTATGCTATGGTTGCAAGTTCTCTATAATTTTGTGTTGTCTCACATTTGACACGGCAGGTTACTGCAAACATGAGGGGAAGCAGTGCAGAGGAAGTGGCTGAGAGAATACTAAGCCAAGCATCATTATCTGGGTTGCAGGTGAAACAAACTGGCTCCCCTACCTTACCCGGAAATGGGAGAACTTTATACCTTCTTTTTCCCCCTGTATATCCTCATTTTCTCACTTATGTGTTATTTTAAATGCTTTTCCTGTTTATACGTTCAGGGGCCCACTATAAGTCCTGTTTTTTGCAAACGTAATGGGAAGGTAGCAGCAGATTATTATGCCATTGTCATATGTGTACCTAAAAAGGCACTCTATAAATCTGTTCAACAGCTGAGAGCGGTGAGATAGTCTTCTTCTTTTACATACATTTCACAATGAATCATACAATTGGAACTGGCCCAACTCCCACACACAATTATAAGAAAAAAGGAAAGGAGAAGAAGAAAGAAAATGGCCAGAATGTTAATGAGGGTGGCGCTGTTATATAGAAACTTTTTACGTCGTTGAACAAAAACAAAGCAATGTGGAGTAAAACACATGCATCAAAATATATTCCTTCTGGGGTAGATACTTTTTCTGTGCAAGATTTTTTTGTAAGAATAACTTGAACACTCATGGCATCTGATAAAGATGCTCAAAATCTGATGCCTTAGTAATACTGTTGAGTTAGTTAGCTTGCGAGAGAAGTTTGTCCTCGGGTTCTATAATTCTTGAAAATGGTTTATTTTGGTTTAACCTAGCCTAATACTAGCTCCCCCCCTTTCTCTCCTCTCCATAAATCCTCGAACTCTAGACCTAGGGATTGACCACACAAGCCAGCTCCTAAGCCAAAGAGGCCATAAGAGGACCACGCCTAATACCAGTTGCTTCTCGTGTCAAATAAAGTCTTAGAACTTGGATTTTGGAACTTTTTTCTCCACAATCATTGTCTATTTGTTGCATTTTTATGCGCAATGCTAAATAATGGTTCTATTTTCTTGGAAGTTGGCTGGTTCCTTAATTTGGTTGCTGTCCTTGCTAGCTTATTAAAGTTTGAATAGTATTTTGGTAGGTAATTAACACACACCCACCACACAACCATGTGGGGCTTGACCTGCTCACCTCCCCTTGTGGAGGAGAGAACTCATACCACCTTGGTTGTGTTTGAGGTTTGAGATTTTGTTAATCAGCTTCGTGAAATTTGTTGCTTGGCAATTGTCTGATGCAGATTGGAGGCAGTGGTGTTCTGGTTTCTCCTCTGACCTACATTTTCGATGAAGAAACTCCAAGATGGCGGGAGCTTCTCTCTAAGCTGGGGCTTTAGACATTTTTCCGTGCATGCCTCAGATGGTTTTTTACTTCTTGAAGAAGTGTTGAGGAATTTCTCAAGTACATTTAGTGGAAGGATTCAAAAGTGGAATTGAGAAACAATCCTTTAGTTAGAGCTCATCAAGCTAGAGCTTTTTTTTTGTATTTATATTGATGTTTGAGTCTGTAGCCAAGTATTATTTATTGTTGTCCAAAATTTTGAACTGTGAGTTTTCCTCCCTCTCCCTCTCAGTTGTATCTTTTAATCTTAATGTGATCATTGGCATTTGATGCCAAATGCAGTGTCACACATTGTATTGTGTTTTATTGGATTTAATAATAATTATTAAATTTCCCAGCACGGCCCCTCTCTCTCATATTGCAAAAATAATAAAAAGGCCTCGAAAATAAAGATAATTTAAGTGGGGATAATTCGAGTCCTTGTGAATTTTCTATGATACTTAATGTAATGGTATGTCTCATTTGAATGATATATCAGATCTTGATATCGATGACACTGTCTCACTAAAAAGATTGTATTACATCTTGTTATTAGTATTACAATACTTCAAGCTTTGATAACTAATTAAGCCATTTCATTTCATAACTCGAAATCTGCAGACTGAATCTACGGTCCTGACTGCATGGCTCTAAGTGATAATCCTCTATTAAAGAAAGGCAAGTTAAACAAAGCAGTTCACGCCGAATATCACATGCACAATATTATTCAGTTTATTGGATCCAAAAATTTGACCTTCCACATTTTTCCATACACACAAAAAAAAATGAATTATTTGATGGTCAAATACATGATCAATGATATGCTTTATAATTCAAAATGCCAATCACCTTACTATCAACTTGCATATGCTCAAATATATAGAGAATAATAGTTGTTATTTCATCCCTATAACTAATATGTGAGAATATACAAGGTATACACAGTGTTTGTCTCGTCACTTGGCATGGCAGCCTGCTGCACCAGTTCCCTTCTGAAGCTTCATTCTTCCACTTAGAAACAGGTATTGCTAAAATGCTCCATATAACAAGTTGGGATATCATAAAAGTTGAACCGCTGCAATGGCCGGGATTTTCTCACGAAGTTTCTGTGTAACTGCCACCCGAACAGTCATAACACCTGCTGCTGGACCTGTGATTCGGACTTTTACAATTGGCTCGTCAATTCCTACGAGCTCAAGAGATCCCCCCGCTGCCCCAACAAGGTATGGCCTTATTTCTTCGAGGACCTGAAATAGTACATAGCAAATCTATTAGTCATACTCGAAAATGGATCGAGTAATTTGAATGTATAAACAATTTGTGAAGATTATGCGGGATATAAACGTCATATCAATCCTGGATATGTTAGTGTCATCATAAATCCTTATTATCACCTACTATAAAGAAATTGCATAATTTTCTCCCCAATGTTCTGAATTCAAAACTAACTGATATTGAAATTTGATTTTTTTCTAACGTCTAAAATGTCCTGCGTAAAACTAATATTATTCACGAGGGTTTTGAAATATCACCAGTTCAGGTAAAGGATTTTAGGTCAAAGATCTATGGATCTTACGATATGGTATCCACGGGTAAATCCTATTTTAGCATAGAAATTTTTGTAGAAGGACCTTACAAATATGCAATTTCATTCAGAACTTACAGCCAAGAAATAAAAAACTTCATGCGAGTTACTGGCGAGTCTTTGTTTGACAGCACAAAAGACTGCCAATGGGACAGAAGAATTATAGTGTTTAATTTCTCTCTCTAAACTGTCTTCTTAAGCATTAAACTTTGTTGAATAACCTTTCGTCAACAATTGGATCACCTATTTCTTTTGCATCATATCTAGTAGTATTAAACACAAAAATAAAATGTAGGATATTCTCCAAATTTTGACGGCAACAAAAACGATGTTTGGAGGTGCAAGTTAAAACCTCGCCATACGGCATATCACAAGCTCAAACCACACTACCTTTGGAAGTAAAGACAAGAAACATATCCTATCTCATATTGCATGGACAACAATATGAAAGTCAAACAGGAATGCTGAAACATTTTCTATCCCAAGTTTACTTTTATTTGCTAAAAAGGACTATTATTAATTTTTCTCATACAACTTGTGTGACTGACAAACTTCGTCCGGCCAAGTCCTTCAAGTTTCTGATTAATGTCTACCTGTCTAATGGTCGTGTTTCTGAACATTATACAGTGAAGGGAAATACTGTGACATCTAAATTACATGAAACCCAACAAAAACACCATAGTCATGTTACTAAAGCCTATGCACCCCTATATTACCATTTGGTAAATTTCATGTGCTCTGCATATATTTCACATCAAAAGTTATGTTCGCTTCCAGCTTTCCACTTGGAAATTTTTAAAACATTTTACAATTCATGGCCTCCCTTTCTAGTGGAGTGTTTAAAATGGACCAAATAGCGACACCACAAATTACAATGCTAGGAAAGAAAGCTTCAAATAGCAATCAGGAAAATAACAAGTTATTATTAGAAAAATGGGTTCTAATCAGCTCAAATTGATTAAAATTACCTACAAAAAGAATCATCACCAGTACGTATATATACATATATATAAAATTATCACAAGTGAAGAATGAAATGAAGAATGCCACAAGAAAGCAAACAATCCAATAACAAAATCATCACCAGTACGTATATTTATATATATACATACATATATATATATAATTATCACAAGTGAAGTATGAAGAATGCCACAAGAACGCAAACAGTCAATAACATAAGCCGCCAGGTCTCATCATATCAAAATTAAAGAACAAATATCATTAGCCACCTCAAACTTAAGCTGCACAAGAACGGACCATGGGAAATGAAAAATCTATGGAATTTCATATATTAATTTTTGGCTACACAGTATACCTTTGTGAAAGAGTTATTTTTATTAGATTGATGACCAATGCAAAGTTACTTTCCACCTCAACCAACATTCTTTTGGCCTTCCCTTCCCCGTAGTACCTTCTTGTCTTTCAAACAATCATTCCTTAGCTTGGTCATTCACTAACGCTCTTTGTTAAATAATCTGTCAAATCTTAATCATATTACATACTCCATAATGTTTATTCTTTTCCTGTCTCGATAATGGTTTTAAGGAATAACGCTCCTCTTCAGCTAAGCCATCTTCCTGCACATTAGTTGATCTCAAGTCTGACCAATCTACACAAAAATCAACAGACAAAGTCTCTATGATTGTGTATTCCGCACTACCACAAACCTATAACCAAACCAATGAGCTCAGAAGAATCCTACAGTACCAAGATGTTTAAAGAACCCTAAATGATTGCCTCCATTAAACCATCTAGAAGAGCAAAGATTGCCGGCCAAAAGGTATTATAAACCAGCTTAGATAGAAAGAAAATGATGTCACCGTCATGGTCTTTGGAGACGACCTAAATACATGGCCTGGACTCCTGAGGGACCATCTATCAAAGTTAAACATAACTTTCCCTTTTGAAGGGAACTACACAGGAGAAGCCACCTTATTTAAGGAAACATCATGAATACCAATCTCTCAAGGTGACCCTCAAAGGAACCCTCTCAAACTCTTTAATTACTGACACTTGAGAAGCAGGCCAAAAGGCAATTTTATCCCTAAGCATATCACCTGAAGACCTCTTTTCAGCATCTCTCCACATTCCATCTATACTAATTTTGTGAGCAGATTCCCAGATTTCCCAATAGTGTATAACTGAAGGAGTTTCAGTTTTCTTGTATCATATGGTACAGATCTAGCCTTGCTATCACAAAAGACCATTCTCAAATATTCAAAGGATGGTGAGGACAAATATAGCTGGACAGCATGGCATACATTGGTTACAAACTAAAGTCAATAAAGATCAGATAATTGCTCTATTAAGCTCACTTTTTTTTTCAGTAACCTTCACTCTCCAACCGCTATTGATCATTACAACCAGGAGTTCAGGCTGGTTCACCACCATCTTTCTTCAACACAAAAATTAAGTTTTAAATATTAATTTTCAACATCAATTAAGGCTTATCTTACAGGGAAACATGCTACAGATCAATAACCTGATCAATTATAAACAGTCATCCCAGCACATCAACCTTTGCAAGCAAAGTCGTTCACTCATGATACAGCAACCAACACAAAAATTGTATCTCAAAGACTCAAAACATACAAACTCCATGGACCCTCAATATAGATACCTATATCTTTTGTTATTTGTTACATATTTTATGACTAATGCCGGTCATCACGCCAACTGTATCCTTGATAAATTATGTAGGAATATCATGACAGAGAGTTGGCATTCAACTAGGATTAAATGTATTTTTATTTTGTAAATCCTTATTTTTCATTATCAAGAATAAGGATAGGAATACCATTTCAAAGGCAAAGCTTAACTCTTAATGCACATTATTGATGGGTCACCACGTATCAATACTGCTACCCTGAGATTCTACGCCATAAGGATAGTTGCTTAACTATTTTCCCAAGGAGTTTGGTGACCTTCAAAAACCTGCTTGGTTGACTCACGGGGGCCCGTTTAACGGACCAAATACTCAAATCTCACAATTCATTAGCTCCTTAAGGCATACTTTTCCAATGAGAAGGTAAAAGGTGTTGCCAAAGGAGGAGCAAAGGATCCATCTTCCTATCAGCCTCCAGATTCAGGATGTCGAGTTTACTTGTCCAATTCCAGAATGTATTCTCTTTCCTAGTAAAGTAATACTTGCTCAATCAGACTTCGGGCATCCAAAGGTAGATTTCGCAAATAGGGAAGGGTCAAGAAGTAAGACACAAAATAAAGTTGTTCAGACCTTCTGAAAGTACCCAAGGTTCCCCCATGGATAGCGAAGAGCTGCGAAGTGGCAATACCACATCACTATATGAAAAAACAACTATGACGTGTGTGAACTACATTGTATAAACCACTTAGATAATTTTAAAGAGCAGTAGCATTTTACTTATAAAAAAAACAGAGCAGCAGCATTTTAAATGTAAGAAGTGAATACAAAAACGAACTACTACCATTTCTATGTTTTCTTCATTAAGCTCAAGGCCAGTTTCTTCATCAGCTATCGGTTCCACTGCAACTATTTCCGGGATCTTTTCCATTAAACGACGCTCAATGCCCATTTTCATAGTCATTACAGAACTTGGGCAGGAGCCACAAGCTCCTTGTAGCTTTAGCCTCACAACATTGCCATCAATTTCGTGCAGTACCACATTACCCCCGTCTGCAATAAGATATGGTCGAACTTCATCCAATACACTCTCAACATTTTCTGCAGTTAAGGACAATTCCACAGCTGATTCGGGAGTAGCTACAGCCTTCACAGCTGCAAGATAGAATATAAGGGATTTGTGACAAAAATAAACTAAAAATGCTCAAGTAAAAACCAAAAATGCCATAATCAATGCAAAACTAAAAGCAAAACAAAGAACACAATCATAATTGTGAATAAATTTTCAAAATACCTTAACGCTTCCATTGCTTACACAACAAAACATACTGAATAGCAATAGAACTACAACTCTAGACATAGTTTTTAACTTTAGTTTTTTTGAGAAACTTTTTTACTAAACCCAAACAGCCCCAATTTTATATTGTCATATTAGGAAAGATAAGCTTTTGAATTTAATTGAGTAACTTGATTTAAAACCCCAGAGCAAACCAAGTAGTTGGAAGTTCTGTATGATATAAAACAAAATAAATAATTAAAAAGATTAACCCATGATCTTAAATAACAAGTTAACAAACATAATTAATACCCACAATTAATTCTACAATTTTCAAGAAGAGGCAGAATGCCAACTTGGCAATGGATCTTATGCTTCCTAAGCAGAATAATATTGAACATCAAGGCAAAACAGAAACATATCCATCACCCAGTGTTAATCCTGCTTATGTGGTGTGCTAGAAGCGAAAGACTAGAGAGTAGATCTAAGAGGACAAAGTTGCAAATAACTAAAATTCTTGTTTGAAATAGTAATCAGTGAAAATACAACATAGTAAGCTAAATAACTATTCTATCAAGACATTCCAAACCAGATGATCCTTCATGAAAGGAATGCATTATGAATATTCTAGGATAAATGGAAACCATATCAAAAGAAGGTCCTTGTCTAGGAAGCACATACATGCCTAAAAGGGCAAAGAATCCGTGTCGGACACCGACACGCGCTGGACACGCCCCGACACGTGTCGGACACACCAAAATACATGTCCGAATATTTAAAAATTTTTTGAATATCCGGACACACAGTGGACATGCTTCCGACACGCCATGGATACGTGTCCGACACGCGTGTCCTACCACTCTTTGGGGATTTTTAAGAAAGTTTTAGAAACAATGTTGAGTTGAAGTGTAAATATTATGAGTTGTTTAATTACATAATTACTTAAAAACTTCTTGTTTCATAGAACAATTTTATATTCAAACAATTAGATATTTATTCTTATATTTTAGTTTAAAGGTTCGAACCTTGCACGATCCTTTTGACTCTCTTGTTGTCCCACCAACCAAGCTTTGCTACCGGTGAATGGTTTCTCTATATCTCTCTCCCCTCTTTCTACTTTTTTTTCTCTTATTCTTCATCGTCCTCTTTTCTTTCTTCTTCTTGTTCTTCACAAACCCTAAATATATATATATATATATATATATATATATATTTTCCTTTCACAATAAATTTCTTTTTGTCTGTTTTTCCTTTTTCCTCTATTACCCATGAACTTTTTTTCTCTTCTATGGATTCTTACCGTTCTTTTTCTAACAAAACCCTAAGTTTCTTTGTCTCTCTTTTTTTTCTTTTTTTCTTTCTTTTTTTTTTCTTTCCTCTTAACACCCTTTCTATCATTTTTTCTTTTTTCCAGCAAAACACATTTTTTTTTTTTTTTTTTTCATTATGAGATTGTAAAAAATAATATTACTCTTAATTTCTTAAAGTACAACATCATACATATATATATATGTATTTTTCTTATTTGCTGTGTCCCCACCGTGTCCGTGTCCTACTTTTTTTTTAAGATTTGCCGTGTCGCCGTATCCATGTCCGTGCTGCTTAGGTAAATCCAACTTGGCGTAAGCCATATTGGAAGATTAAACTGGCCAGGTGAAAGGAAAAATCAGGAACACGGCAATTTGATTTATTATTCATAAGCGTGATGAAAATACACTTAAAATAATTATTTTCAATATTAATTCGAAGTTACAAGATTCCCAAATTTTACAAGCAAGACAAAGTCTTTTGTTCTAGCCAAAGAAAATGAGAGAAAAAAAATATATCAAAATTAGGAAGACTTTATAAGCATATATACACTAGAATTCATTTACAGACTCCACCAATAAACATTCAATGAAGTAACGACTGCAAAATTTCAAAAGCAAGATCAAACTATTCGAAGCAGCAATTGGAAATAATAATAATAATGAAAAAAAGATCAATAGAAACTTATAACTCACCTCGTCTGTGTCTCCTCGCATGCAATCGAAACCGCACGGCACAAGACGAGCTCTGCCGTAAGGGGTTGCTTCTTCGACTGCCCAAGAAGCTCAGAACCTGAAAAAATTGAATGGATTAGAGCATGTATATCATATGAGATGTATAAGTTTTGAACTGTAAGCAATATATATATATAGAGAGAGAGAGAGACGGGTGAAGAGGCATGGAAGAGGGTTGTTGGTGCGGAACGAGGAGAACATGAAGGTTCTAGGGTTTGTTGGGCCCTGCAGTATGGATATGATGAATTCAACGCCACGCCTTGCATCTCTTTCTCTCTATAGACTCCTTCCTTCCAGAATCAAACTATATGATGCACAATTCGTGTGGAGGTCGTCCTTAGAACAACAGATCAAAATCTCTCTCTCTTTCTCTCCAAGTTTTCGTGTATGTAAATGCTCATAATATAAATCAATTTTCCTTTTCCAATTTATTTTTAAACGCTAGCACGTGTGTCATGCACACTCACCGAAAAACAAATTTGTATGTTACTATTTATATTCATAGATATAATTATATATATGATTAAATTAACAAAATATTTGCTATACTTTCATTTTGACTCTTTACTCCATTCCACTATTAAAATGGTCAAATCACTTATTATTATTTATTATTATTCACTTTACAAGTTTTTTATCTACTTAAATATATTTAAATAAAAAACACAGTGCCAATTTGTCCTGATATAATTTTTTTTTCTTAGTTTAGGGAATAGTTTGATAGTATGGTACGAGTAAAGTGTCAATATATATATATATATATATATATATATATATATATATATATCTGGAAAAAAAAAAAGTGTTAAAAAAAATGAAATTACATAAATGTTTTGTGAATTTAGCCCTTACACACACACACACACACACATGTATGAATCTTGAATTCAGTCCAAATTGTATCTCACTTTTGTTTAAGTGAAATGTTTAGTTAATTAACTCATAGGGTGAATATCACAAGTACTTATAACTTTGTGTGTAGTATAAAAATTAAATGAAAATTTTGATTTCAACAAATGTTCTCGATGCATTTAAAAAAAGCAAAAATTATTGGACATCAATTCAATTCAAGATTTCACATTATTTCTTTTTGGTAATGATAATGTTTCTTTTCATTAATTTTATGTTTTCTTTTTCATAAAAACCCCTTCTAGTTCGACGGACGAATAGTCTGTGGGAGGTGGAGTCAGTGTGTGCCATGGGACACATGTCCCCCAGCCTGGTCCCGCCCTATATATATATATATGATTTTTATTTTATTTTTTACATATATGTATATATTTGTATATTATGCTCCCTGAATTATTATTTTCTAATTTTTTAAAAAACTTTTTATATTTTTTCTCTTTTACTCTTTAAATTTCTTGAACTACCTTTTTAAAAATGTTAAATTTCCCTTATTTAATCGTGCTATAATTTGTTTCCTTCAAAATTCATTTTTCTTTCTCTGTTGTTTTTTTTTTTTTTCCCCCTTTTTATTCTTTAAAAAAAAAAAAAAAAATCCCACTATACGAATTCAAATCCTGACTCCTGTGATGATGTCTTGAGTTTTGAAAACCATCCTAACATGAAAGAAGCTTCCATAGAATTCCCAATACTAAAGTATGCAGTTCTCTCTCTTCATTTTCGATCTAAATTATCATTTCAATTCCATTTTGTTAATTTCTTACCATATCTTTTTCGTAATATTAACATTTGAGTCACTTATATTCGAATGATACAATTAATCACAAAATATATATATATATATATACACACACTATGGATGCATGATTAATATACATCCCACATTTAGGACTTGTTTTATACTATATTTTTGGATAGGCTAGATTTAGAGCTTGTTATCCAGCCTATCCAAAAATATACTATAAAACAAGTCCAGCCTATCCAAAAATATACTATAAAACAAGTCCTAAATGTGGGATGTATATTAATCATGCATGCATAGTTTTTTGTTTATATATTGCCTAACCCTAGTAAAATATTGGGTTCAAATAAAACATTATCAGATTCGTCTTTTTACTATGTTTGGGAGTAACAAATTCACGCTACAAGACGACAAAAGTGAATAAGTTAAAAAGAAAGTCTTGGACCAAAATTGAATTTTGAAAAGTTTTCAGAGGGTGAGGGTACCGCGCACATAAATGCTATGTGACAGTGAAATTTAGTTTAAATTTTTAATTGAATTTTTTTTAAAATTTAAATTCGAAGATATTGATTCAGTGTTTCCAAACGCATATATATATTAATTTTTTAGTTTCGTAATTGATGCTGCAATTCATGTGTAAACCGGAATCCAATAAACTGCAGATTTTTTTTTTTTTTTTGTGACTGGGTTAAAAATAACTATAATAATGAAATTTTGTTGTTGATGGACTTGAGCTGTGATACCCCTCGGATCCAAGACACGGGTTAATCAGGCCCAGACCCAAACCTGAGGGATATCCAACAATTAAAGTATTTTAAATCGTATACGAATACAAAATGAAATAAGAATTAAAATTTAATAAGCTGAAAGAAACTAAAAGAAAATCCTTGTAACAAAATTAATCAAATCTGATAATCCAAAACTCCATAAGTTTACAACTCGGGAATCCATCCATTGGACCCTTTATTAAAATTCTCAAACCAAAACTGAAATAATAGAAATAAAATCCAAAGCTAACATATAGAAGATTCCTACATAATCGGAGGAATGAATATCTGCATCTGCTTTGCACGTCCGAGCTCTAACCCTAGAACTGACGAACACCTGAAAAAGAAAGGAGTGGGTCAGGCCCACATGCAAGTCCTGATCTACTATAATCCAAGTAGTAATCCGATACGCAGATACATCTTAGGAAGACTCAACAATATCTAGAGTAGTTCATATATGTATATAGTACACATTGTAGGACGCTCGCTAGTCCAGTAGGTCTGTCTCAGCCTGAATAAAAGGCAACATGCGAATACATACCCGAAGGTGGGCATGAGTACCTAGACCTACCAGGAAACAACACCTATGTTCAGTTATCCATCCTAGGCGATATACGCGCCCTAACCATGGTCTTGAGACTCAAGCTCATACCATGGCACATATAATAAATATATAAAGTCCGTACTCCTCCTACTACAGAATATCATTCATCTGTGTAGTGGTCTGATATATGTATAACAAATCCATCCTGAAACCATAGTAGGTCATTCAATTTACAATTGATATGACACACGTAGGTGATGGACTTAACCTTTATAATTAATCCATACCTTAATCCAAATTTAGATAGGGCTTAGTGTCTGAACTAATCCGTACCTAGTATGACACCGTGTAATACCCCTAGTTTTCAAAAGGATAAAATGGGGATTTAATTTTGATTTTTATTGCATTTTTTTTATAATTTTAATTATGAGAATTATGTGTTTTGTTTTCTTATTTGTTATATAGTGAATTGGTTTGTTTAATTGATTAAGTGTGAATTATTTGTATTAGATTAATTAATTTATTTTAATTGTTTATTGGTTTTAAATTAATTGTTTAATTGAATTGGTATTTTAAATTAATTATTTATTTATTTTAATTTAATTGGTTTTAACTGACGTGTCTTGTTTATGGCTTATATGGTTTATATTTTAGGGTTATTTTAATTTAAGTTAGGGTTTCATTTATTCATGGTGTAGCCGACTTGTAAATTTAATTGAATTAAACATAGGTTAAATAATAGCCTATATATATAAAACTGTATGGTCTGCTAGGGTTGGAGAAACAAAAACAAAACCCTATTCACAGAATAGTATTTTGAGAGGAAAAACAGAGAGGGTTCTTGAGAGAATCTGTGAGGCTAATGAAGGAAGGATAGAGGACGAGCAGAGGAGTTGCTCGTGGGTAAGTCAAGAAGCAACAGAGGAATAGAAGATTTATCAAAGGAGGAAAACAATCTGGGGAATTCTGAAACGTAGAGACGGCGTAGAGGTTTTAATTCAAAATCTCATAGGCAAGTTTCATTCTATCTCCTTCCTGTAAACTTGTGTTCTGTGCATTCTAAATAGTCTCCAGGGGATTAATTAAAGTTTTAAAACTAATAGTTGATGCATGTTATATTAGACTGTAACCTGTTTTACGTTTAAATAACTGAAATTGGGTTTTTCTCAAACTGTGTTGTTTTTTATTTAAACTTCTGTCAATCAAGTTCATAATAGAATTTAAGAAGTTTCTATGATTTTTGGGACTTGTATTGAACCTTAAGAACTTTAAGGAAACTTGGAGCAGAGGAGTGGTCTTCGCCGGAAGCGAAGAAGATAAACAGAGGAAAAGAAAATTGTTTCGGTTGAAGCTTTGTTAATACATTCATGTTGGAATATGTAGGGTTTCTAGGACTTTAGGAACTTGAATAGAACCCTAGGAATGTTAAAAAGATTTAGGATAGGACATTGGGCTTCGCCGGAAGAGCAGACGACAACCGGACGAAGCAGAAACGAAGCAGTGAAGCAGAGAGGGGCTCTCAGGGGTGAGAGCCGGCTCCTAAATGGTGGGAGCCGGCTCCTAAATGGTGGGAGCCGGCTCCCATGAAGAGAGAGCCGGCTCTCCATGAGGGAGAGCCGGCTCTAGAAGCCTAGGAGCCGGCTCCAATAAAGGGAAGCCGGCTCCCATGGGAAAAAACCCTTACGGGTGTTTTCTGCAAATTTTTTTGAAGTTCAGGGGCTTAAAGGTAATTACTGGAAAGTGATGGGGGGTTTTAAATGATTAAAATTAACTTAATAAAGCCTTCAAATAGTTGGTTTATGTTAAGGTGCTAAACCTAAATGCATGTCATAAAACATAAGCTTATAATAGGCCTGCTGTCAAGGAAGGAGGAATGCTTGTTTTGCTAAGTTGTTTTGACAACTTAATTTGGACTGACATTGTAATTATTGTTAGAATTTATATCAATGATATATTTAGCATAGTTCAGTTCCAGGAATGTTGGTTATGACCGTCATGTACTCGTATCTAATAAGTTGTATATTGTCGGGAGTAGTGGAAGGTTAGTTGCTAGTTTCGTGTTAGCAAATTAAATGAAACTAGCATAAAATACTTTTGAAGTTTCATATGATGTACTTAAACTTTGGAGTGTCATTATATCCGAAACAGAATTTATAATGGGGAATTACATAGATGCCATGAGATTTAATTATAGATTTGCATGCCGTAAAGGATTTGGGAGGATGTAAATGCTAGTCATCATTTTAACATTTAAAACAAACTAGTATGGATGTGTTGATTTGGAATTCTAGTATAATGTGCAGTTTAAAATTCTGATATTCATTATATTATGTTATGGAGGATAATTGCTGAACTGTCTTAATTTTGGTTCTGTCAATTACATGGAAATGGATGGTTTAAATTATTTATTCTTATTTTAACAATTTAAAAGGAGGATCTATGATTATAAACATATACTGGATGCATGATAGGATCTTATCAATATCTGATTTCTATTGTGTTGGTTTCCGGATGGATTTGATGTTCAAACATGTGTGCATCATTGATAGATCATTTGCATTATATGTACCGGTATGGGACGGTGACATATTAGGGATGGATTAGATAAAAAAAAAAAAAAGCTAAGTCCTACCCCTTTCATACATATGGAATGGATTAACTCAAACAGTTAACTCCTACATGGATGCATGTCCTGTCGACTAAAACAGTTAAACGACATAATGGATGGTTGCTTTACTTTTCTGTATTAGGAAGAGATTTAAATATATACTTAAGTGCCGTGATACGAGCTTGAGTCTCCTGATCATGGTTAGGGTGCGTATATCGCCTAGGATTGATAACCAGGCCTGATGATGTTTCCTTGGTTGTTCTACTCGGGTTGAGACGGATTATGTGGGCTGGTGAACGTCCTATAGTGTGTACTTATATCTATATGGACTATCTTAGCTATTGTTGAGCTATTTAGGATGTATCTGCGTATCGGGTTTATGTATGGATTGTAGTGGCATGGAACTTGCATGTGGGCCTGACCCACCCTTATTTTTCAGGTGATCGTCTATAACAGGTTTAGAGCTTGTTCGTGGTGATGCAGATACAGTCATTCACTCTTCCGACTAAATAGGATTTTTCTTTCTGGTTTTAGTTTTGGATTTTATTCTGTAAAGTTGTATCAGTTGAGATTATTAGGGGTCCACTAGTTGGATTCCCGAGTTGTACGGATTGGAAAGTTAATTTATATTAAAACTTTTATTTTTGGAGGTTTTACAATTAGAATTCTTTTCAGCATATCATTATTTTATTCTTAATTCAGTTTTATTCATGCTTGTTTATATATTGATTGTCTGGTATCCTTCGGATCCGTGCCCGGACTTGATCACCCGTGGTTCTAGAATCGAGGGGTATCACACACCGTCCCATACCGGTGCATACCATCCTCCAGTTTACGTAGTTAATAACACAGTATAATTATTTATTAACCACGTCCTAGAATAAGCATAAATATAGTTTAGCATGTACACCACCAATTTGCATCCAATATAACATTTAGATATCCCATTACAGTTCTTTATATAAATGAAAAAACTGTATATTTAGCTCCTCCAGTTAACATAGTTGATGAAAACAGTATCAGACACTAATCAACCATACTCCAAAATTTGCATAATTACAGTTTAGCATGTGTATAACTAAATTATGCGTCAAATAAAAATTTTAGAATCCCAGTTCCAGTCCTTTAAATTGATAAATTAAGATTATACAATTTACTTCTTCATATAATACCATAACTGATGCATTGCATGGCAGATTTTAAATATCAGTTAATTCCATCTAAGAACACATATATTTAAACAGTTATATGCTCTTAACACAGCTGAAAACATGATTCATTATTTAAGATCATGCAGAAAAACCAATTGCTAAAACAGTAAGCAGTTTAATGTAAATATTCAATTATCCATCTACGAGTCCTCTATTTGATCTTGGATTAATTCCCATCCTCTATAACTGAATGTGAGCTTGCTTCTTAATATTATTATAAGTCTCAAACACTTAATTACAACATTCAGTAGCTTTAAACAGTTCCAAAAAATTCAATTTCAGCCAAACAAACCATAAAAATCAGTTTCTGGACATTTTAAGAGAGAGCAGGCTTTAGAAATTAAAGAGCCTGCTCCTTTTTTCTTCAGAGCCAGCTCCACACACCAAGAGCCGGCTCCAACCTTCCAGGAGCCGGCTCTAAGGGATTTTAAGAGCCTGCTCTCTTTTCCCTTAGCAACCTCCGTCCGTTTCGTTGTCTTCTCCGATTTCTGTGAGTACCAGTTCTCTGTAGTAACTTTAAATACATGTTTTAAGGTCTAATCTAATTCCAGATTGATTATAAAACAATGATATACAATCAAAACTTGAATTGAAAACAAATTGCTACACAACGGAACAAGGTTACAAAGTTACAGTTTTATTACTATCTTTTTGAAACAACCAAGAACAGGTTTAATTCCATGAATTTAAACATTGATTAAACATGCATAAAGGTTATAATTAAGCCTTAGTTTAATCCCTAGAGTCTTCCTAAACATGCACAGAACACAGATTAAAGAGATAGAGCAGAACAAGACTTGCCTTGAGTTTCAGTTTTGAAACTCTAAACCACTATCTCTGAAGCTTCTGTCCACGTTCGAGACTCCTGTTCTAAATCTCAAGTGCTCTTGGTTCAATCCAGAAGCACTCCGTCCAGTGTATCCTTGAACCTCTCCGTCAACCTTACCAGTTTTCACTCTCTGTATCTCTCTGTCTCACTGTAAACATATCAGTGAATAGGGTTCTTCTGTGTAACCCTAAACCAACGTATATTACTGTATTTATAGGCTTTAGCACAACCCTAATTCTAATACAAAAACCAACCATAAGTCGGCTACATCCGTGTAAATAAAACCCTAATATAAATATATATGTGCCTCCATACAGTCACGTTAAAACAATTTAAATATAATTAACTTAATTAAATTAAAACAACTAAATTACATCAGTTAAACAATTATCTAATGACTAATTCAATACAATTTATGCAAATATAAACAATTGCAAATAATGCAAATATAAGCAAACCGCCAGTTAAATAAATAAAACAAATAAAAACAATTAAATAAATAAACAGATAAATAATTAAACAAAAATAAACAAATAAACAATTAAACAAAAATAAATGCAATGTAAACAATATAATAAATACCAGGACTATCCTTTTGAAATTAGGGATATTACATGAGCTCACCAAAAAATCACCCCTAGATCCGCCCTCCACTGCAGGATGAGACATAAATCAATCTATGTTACTCTATTTTTCTAGTAAAAAGAATATATATATACTTGAATGTGCAAAAGCAAACGAACTTAAAAAAATAATCTTGACAAACATTTTCACACAACGTACATAAATTTCCACCTGTAACAATCAGCTTACAAAAAGTGAAACTAATCTATCAGCAAAAAAAAAAAAAATACTGAATAAACAACTCAAATATATATTAGTGTATCACACCATAAAGTGAATTTCCTAAGAAACAATAAAAATTAATTGCAAAGTTTTACAAAAAGAAAATTCAGATGTTTAAATAGATGAACATCATTTGCATCACAAAATTCCAAAAAAAAAAAAAAAAAAAATCAAACACCTAGCTTAGAACATACAGGAGTCTCTAGCTTCATAAGATATATATATGATCAATCTCTCCTCTTGGCATGTTGAAGCTAGGGAATGAAATCAAAACATACACATTAAAAAAGAGATATATATATATGTGTGTGTATGTTACTACTTATGTACCCTTGTTCTCAATTTAAGTACACTTGAGAAGATGAATTAATAGAGTGGATGGTTAAGATTGGTAGATGACCCTTTTTTCCTCGAAAACAAGTCTTTCACAAGAGGAATAACAGGCTTCTTTTTCATCACTATCTTCCTCTCTTTCCTTCCTTCAAACAAGCCTTCCTTGTCAGCAGTACCAATACTTAGTATGTGAGCCAAAGTTGGTGACTTCTCCATTCTCACTATCACGTCCCTCCTCTCTTCCTCTCTGAAACTCAAACCACCTTCTCTAAAACTCACTGACCTCGACGTCGCCACCGCTTTTGCAGCTGCAGCTGCAGTCGCCTCAGCTTGAGCCATCTTTGACATGTTCTTGTGAAGCTCCGCGTTCAACGAAGCCAACGCCACCTCGGTCTCCGACTCTCTCTCTTTTAGTAACTTCAATTCGATCTTCGTTTCTTCCAGCTCATTCTCAATCTTCTTTAGAGTATCTACAACAGCATACTCCTCTTTTACTTCATTATTAATGGGAGCATTAGTACTACTACTTGGTGAGCAGGCTTCTTGGCTGGGACTCGGCGACAACTTCCATGATGTTTCTTGCTTGGGGAAGCTGAAAGGCGGCTTTGGGGAGTACATTTCTCCGGTGAGGAGTCTATCCCCGAATATGGCGACGGCTTCTTTGACAGAGCGAAAAGGGCGGGAAGTGTCGACGGCGGATTGATAATCTATGGTTGGCTTCTCAGGAGTTTGGGTAATTTCCATGGTGATATGATGGGAATATTGTTCACAATGGTATGTATAATGAATATTGTAGCTATAGGTATATAGGAGATGAGACAATAATGTTTGATGATTGGTTAGGTTTGAGTTTTCTTTGCTTGTACTACAAAACTTCAAAGTGCAATGAGAGAGACAGAGACAGTTGAAACTGTTGTTTCAAGGTAAGGCATGTGATATATTTTGGAGTTGGAGGAAGTTGACAATTCAACTACTTAGGTAGTCAAGCACAAAGAACCATCAAGCGCTGCTTAAAATAGGTATGTGGAGATGGACAAATTATTATCCTCTCAAATTCAATATGCTTTCTTGCTGCTTCTCTTATTCTTTCCATTTAGTACTATTGTTCTCTCTAACCTAATTTTGGTTCATCGCTTCATCAATTAGTGTAAGCTGCTATATATATATATATACATATTTTTTTTTCACCTTTTTGTTGTTGTTGTGTTTGGTAGGTATTTATTTTATTTTATTAAAAATTGAGGATCCCAACCAGACTAATAGCTTTATTTTAAAGGTGAAAAAGTACGTAATACAGACAAATAAACTAATAGGCTCCATTTGGTGGGATGTTATCCGAATGGTTCGGTTATTTTCTGCATTCGACGACCCTCCTCTCCCCTATAACCACTAACCTTAACATTTTTGTCATTTAAAAAAAAAAAAAAAGGCTCCATTTAGTTGCTTCTAATAAATGTATGCTTGCATATGCCTCTAGAACAAGTTTACACTATTTCTTCAGTTGGCTTGGTTTGTCTGTTTTCTCAAATGATGAGAAATCTACTTCATGTACCTCTTTCATAATTGTTTTGATTTTAAGTCATGGACCTGAATTTGGAGAAAGTCCTCAACGCAACAATAATATCATGCTAGTATTTTACTAACATGCATGACACATTTTATGTTTTGTATTAATTAATACAAAACATACTAGATATTTTAGGGATATTGCGACGAATCCTAACACTTTAACACATGAGTGTTGACATGTATGTGAGGTGATATTAGTCAGATGCAGCACAATTGTACCACAAAAGATCCCAACTCTAGTGGTGCAAACTCATCAAAACCCAGCCTAAACGCCTTTTCTAACAAATATGGCCCTGGCCCAACCCAACCGACAATATCATAAACTAGCCAGCTCATCTCTCTGTTGGGGTTTGTCAAGCACTTGTATTGGACTCGGGTCCAATCCACACGTGAAAACCCAGCCCTATATTTACCTTTTCTAACAAATATAGCCCTAGCCCTAGCCCTAGCCCTGGCCCTAGCCCAACCCATAATATATCTAGGTTGATTCTTGGGTTACAAGTTTAGCGTTTAGGTTAAGCAAGCAGTTTCAGGTCCACTTCCTTTTCTGACAAGTACGGCCTAGCTCAATGGTCACAACCCAACCTATAAAAACAAAAATCTGTGATTCTTAGGCTTTAAGTTTAGGTTTAGCACCCGACCCAACCCAACCTTCCACGCTGCTTATAAAATCCCCCAACGCGAGTCACTAATTTACTTAGAGCTAATCATGGATTGGATCGGATCGGTTCCGTTTGGAAATAAAGTTCAATCTAATCCAATCCCCACATATTAGTGAAATTTGAAACCGAATTGATCAATGGAAACCTTCAATCAGAACCAAATCGATCTTTTAAATAACGGATCGGATCGGATCGGATCGGTTTGGTTTCTATGGATTGGCCTTTTCAAATAACCCAATATGATTACACTTTATGATCCATTAAAATCTCAAATTAGTAATTAAAAACCTATAACTAACTTTTTAACATACTAGTAAAATGCACGTGCGATGCACGTATTGAATGTTTTGTAACTTATCGATATATTCGTTTTATCAACAATGTTTATAGTGTATTAATTGTTATTTCAATGAATTCCTAAACTATAACTCTTTGAAAATAAAAGTATTCATATGAATAATGTTTAGAGAGTAATAATTGTCACCTCAAAAGAAAAAAAATAAGGTTTTTCATTAATGAATGAATAAAAACTATAAACATTTAAAAAATATATATGAAAATTAAAATTCTATAATTTACAAAACATTCATAAATAAATACTATATAAAAATTCTATATATTATAAAATCCGAAAGGGTACCAATAATGTTTAGATTGTAATAATTGTCACCTCAAAAGAAACAAAATATATTAAAAAATCCAAAACTATAACTGTTCGAAAATAAAAGTATTCCTAAATTATTTATTTCACAATCTTTATCTTTTTTGCATATCTCTTTTCTTCATGAAATGAATCATTGTCAAGTGTCAATTCTTTTAATTATTCCAGCTCAAAATAAGTTTTCACGACTTGTTGTTGAGTATTGTCTATCTTCACCAGAAAAAGAAAAGATTTCCCTTTGCAGCTTGTCACTTTGTTGCTGAATTCATCCATGTTCTGTAGAAAGAAAAAATATAATTTAGAGCTATTGAGAAATTCAAGTAAGTATTTTTTTAAAAATTTAATTAAAATTTTATGAATAAGGATGGGAAATTACCTCAATTTGTAATTGTAGCAAATCATCTAGTGAACAATCTATTAATATTTGGCAATCATTGAACACTGTTAAGGTTACAAGTGTTGCAATATGTTTCATACTTCGCACTTTAATTATCATCATGAATCTGCACATGAATAAAGACAAAGAATTATGCATTTGTAATATTATTAAACCATTGAAATAAATACAATAATAAGGTTTTATGATATAATAATACTTTTAAATGCATTTTGGGTCTGTTGTGTTGCATTGAGGACAGTATACTCTATCTTTTTCAACTTTTATTTTCTTGTTGCATTTCTCACAGGCGTCGTACCACGGTTCGCGATCATTAACGACATTTTCAATTGTTACTTCGAAACAATAATTTGTTTTCTGCAGGTTGTGCAACAAAATATAACTTCTCAATATAAAAATTAAATATAAAAATTAAATATAAAAATGTGATACACAATTAAGAAAGATTAAGAAATATACTGAAATTTAATACCTCAAAGGACATTGTAGATTTTCCTATTATGTCTTGAAGTTTGACTTTTTCAGCACCATTGAATTTTTGATCTTTTGTACTAAAAATCAAACTTCTCATATCTTTGTTATTTATGTTCTCTTTGGACCTGTCCACATATAAATTATCTTGTAAAATAATTAAATAAATAAAACAGAAAAACATATTCTCTTTCTACAAATGGTGTATATTTTGCACCAAGAAGTCTGCAATATAAAAAATATAAAAATAAATATCATCTGGCATAAATGTTTAGTTATATATGAACATACTCAAAGAAAAAGATTACATATAGCTTTATGAATATATATATATATAATGTAAAAGAAGTTGGAATAAATAACGAACCAATACCTTAATGCTTTGACACTTTCAATATATATATTGATTTGCAATGCAGATCCTTTTTGCGTTTGAAGAGACAGACTTGGAATATAACATTATTATTTGTAAAAGTTTGTTATTATAGATTTACTTAATAATATATAATGTAAATAATATCAATTTGTATGATAATTTACCTTTGTAGGTGTTGATTGCCACATGTGTAACTGTGATAATAGGTCTTTCTTGTATTAGTTCCATGATAAAGTTTCCTTCATTCTTAGCAAGATCCTCCCATAACATCAAAGTAGTTGTCCTTGAACTGTAATAAAGATTAATTACTTTAGTCATCATATTATATTGGCATAATTATGATCATATTTGTAATATAATAATGACGTACCTCATATTCATTATAGTGACTTCCTGCTTTTTGGTTGTGCCTTTGTTGTTCTTTTTACATATGTTCAATGTAGGAGATATATCAATAACAATTCCCAAAGCATCTAGCCAGATTAAAAATAAAATAAAAAATAAGAAATTTTAATTTTAATTTTATATGTGTACAAGAGAGAACATATATATGGAGAGTTGAGAATAAAACGAAAACTAACCCATATTTTCTTTTGCATCAGTGTACTTGTTCAGCTCCTTGAAGTTCACAAAATTAAAGTTTATTATTTCTAAGCTTACTACTTGAAGCTCTTCAACTTCAATTGAGGTGTTATTAAGAAATTTCAATTCACACTCCTTGTGCACACTCCTATATATAGGATTGGCGTCTTTTACAGTTACATTAGAAATTCTGTATGTTTTGTGAAGCAACAGTGAATCACTGAATTTAGTGACGAGCTTGCTAAATAAGACACCTTGAATTTGTGTTCCCTGAAAGAGTAAAAAAAATGTGTAAATGGATTAATAAGATCATTAAATAACAATGTTACCATACAAATATAGATGCATTTAATGAAACTAAAAAAAATAACCGATAGTATACTTACATCATCATCCATCAGAACTACTTTCAACATTGTTCCTGATATATTCCTCGATTGCTCTTCGAAGTACAACTACTTATATTGTCGGTTCTGTTTTTAAACTAACAAGTGAATTTATTAACTCAAAGCTTTGGTGACATTTCTTCAATTTCATGACTGTTTCTGCATGATGAAAAAGAAAAGAAAAGAATTGAGGTTAAAGAAAATAAAAATTAAAAATAAAATTGTGAAATAAGAATGATCGAGTATCAAAATAGAAATGAAAAAAATATATATATACATCAACAGTAAGTTAAATCGAAGTTGATATTTTTTATGTTTTTAGAAGAATAAAATTGTGAGTGAAAGATTTAAATATTGTAATAATTGGTAGTGAATGTGGGGTATCTTTACCTTTCAAACAATGCAAAATAATTTTGGAATGGGAAGGCATGGATATTAATGTGGGTGTATCCTTACCTTTCAGACTGGAAAACCTCCTTATAGACAACATTTTTAGTGTATGTACCACCTCTAATGTTTGTTTGATCCTTCCTAACAAGTACTTTAGTAGTTGACACTGAAGTTCCTCTAGATAGTGCAACATATAATTATCCATGGGAGAACACGTGCTCAGGTAGATAAACTCCAACATAAGGAATTGTTTGGCCCTGTGCCTTATTTATTGTCATTGCAA